CAAGCCGCCACCGCTGTCGAATGGAGGTAACCGACTCCGCAAGGAGGGCGTTAAAATCGACCGGAAGAAAGACAGTCTCCTAGAAGAGAAAGCATCGATCATCGATATATTACTATTATAACGGTGCCGTTGCGGGTTCTCTACAAGTTTCAGTGAACCTGCCCCCCCATCTATACAGAACAACTGTATAAGATGGCAACAGCTAACGATTCGAGGGCTAACGATATACAGATATTCTCTGGTAGTTAGGGGTATAACAGCGGCGTTCCATCATTTCCCACTTCGCTTTCAAAACTTTGATCTGCGGCAAAGCATTTTTTCTCAATATGGTCAACAAGTGACATACACACAGGTTAAGTGAATGGATGTGCAACTGGACACTGATATGCGGACGATTACAAGTTCACCACGGCATTTGGAATACCGAACGGAAATCCCAAGCCATCTCCCAAATAGTGTTCTATAGTTATCTCAAAGAGGTGGCTGAACATTCGCGGTTGAAATGAGGAAAGCCGCTTATCGTGTTTCGCAGAACCTGAACATACTCACTGCCATTACAACGGCTGGCGAAATTCATGGAATTTAACCACCGTTTCAAATATAAACGACTGATCGAGGATCCCATCATCCGTGAACCTGGCGCTGGTTTCGACCTGCTGCTTAACACCTGGTTGCCTATTAACCGCATAAAAACCATGCACAGCAGATGCGCGCAGCATCTGCACAGATGGACAGTCAGTGACTAGCCTAAATGCAAACGCGGAACGGACAGTCAAACTGCCGTCATTGCTACTATCAAATGCCCACTTTGTAGTCTAGACATTAGAAGCTGTTCTCCAGTAGCTTTACAGCTTAAACGTCGATGCGACTCTAAGAGTTAAGCAAAAAAGATTTTCCACAGTACGACGGTAGTTTGCTTCCGCATCAGGTAGAAATAGGAAGGAACCGGCGAAATGCTACAGAACTGCAAGAGAGTTCTCGGAGCGAATGAACAACATGCGGCATCAGCACGAAAGCGAGGGCTCTGGCTTGACTGTTGCGTGCATGTCGCGATGTCGTTTTGACTACTTGAATCCGTGTAGTCCGATCAGCCGTCAGCCAGCTCTCCAGCTGTGAAATTACAACTACAGCACCTTTCGAACTCATATGACGGTGGATATACGAACCAAACATTTAGTTCGGCGGCAGTCGTCTATCAGTATGAAACACTGACGAACAGACGGACAATTGAGACCTTTGAATTGAACAAGTGAGAAAAACACAACAGGACCAGTGCTGCATAGTAACAGGAGAAGAAGCGCCTCGTCAACAAATAGAACTTCAGCTGAAGCACGAAACCGGCCAATCGGCCGGAGAACAGCAGAGCAAAATAAACATAGCATACAGCAGAACAATAACGCCAACAACAGCAGTCAATCAACTCGTACTTACGAAAGATATGATGGCGGCGAGCAAGAGGATCTTCACCAGAAGATCATCAAACTGTTCGAGAATCAGCTGAAGCAACGGTTTGGCTAAAATAACGAAGGTCTGAACCGTTTAATTCAACGTAGAAGATGGACGATCGGCCAAACAAAACGTCGCATAGAGCCATAAAATTTTATTTACTCACTTTCCTCCGCCGGAAGCTCTAAAAAGGTAAGCAATATAATAAAACAGGGACAAGTGAGTAAAGTGAGTCAAGATGCTCACCGTTAAAACCGTATTTCTCCCTGAGTGTCTTCACGTCGTTGTCAGACAGTCCGCCGTCGGCTGTCACGTTCAGCTGCTTCAGCACCTCCTGCACGCTTTTCGTGTGCCAGAGGCCGGCCATTGCACCGTCTTCTCCTTCTTTGTACGGACGCGCGTTCGGCAAAAAACAGGAACGGACACGGACACAGACACGGCTGAATGATGATCGCTTAGGATGCGAATCTTATGCGCACGACGACTACTACGACGAAGCCTGTGATGACCACGGTCCGACCTGAAACGACGACGACCAAACGTGTGTAAAAATAATCAGTAAGACAACGAATGATTTTCGATGTTCATAACGCGGTGATACGCCATAACTCATCACTACGAAAACACTTTTAAAGGCTGCTTTAAACACGCCATGCATACGTCTATCTAAAACCTACAGTCGACAGAGAACGGATGGATGTTCATTCGTCATTCGTCAGTTGCTATGCCCGGGTAGAACGTATAAAGTGAAGGTACCCTCGCAGCCTCATTAGCCTCCTCATCTTCTGTCTTTAAACTTTCAACTTCCACCTTACTTTATCCCGCAGCCTCAGTATGCCTGACGCTGTCGTCTGCGGACAGTGGTAGCAGAAGCCATCAAATATCTCCAAATAACAGGTAGCGACGGCGGTCTACTACGACAGAGGAGAAAAACATGCCGCATACCTGTAAAACATCCGCGCAGTGAAGCCGGCTGCCGCTAGCTCATATGAGTGCGAGCAGTCCTGGCGCGCAGCGCACACGCTAAGCACAAAGAGGAAATTGAACAGACTAGCGAACGGGTAAAAGGACGAACAGCCAATCGACCTCTCTCTACCTCATTCTCCTCAAACCAGATGCCCGCTGAAGAGGAACAAGTAGAAGTCAAGAGCAGAGCCTGAACGAAGCAGCGAGAGAAATTCGCAGAACAACCAGCACGCCCTTCACCCTGCGGCGAAATCCGTTTTGCCGTCATTACCACATTCTACACGCTCGCTTCGACACATTTAATAAAAAGCATAACACTGACAGCATCACTAATCGCACAACTGAACAAAAACACGACACATCGTTAAGACAGCTAAGTTTATGCAATGTCAGACCTCTATCACATTATACAAAACTTTCCACAATATAT